TGTATATCAAATCTTACATTGTAATGTTAAAACCAAAACCTTTTGCTAACACAGAATGTATTTTAAGTGGTAGTGCTAGTCTTTTAAGCAGAAGCATATTAAAAGCAGTCATACCAAATACTGACTTTCAAGCTTTTTAAAATTGTATAAGCTTTGTTTTTAGTATTTATACTATATTGCATGCATGTTCCCATGTTATAATAAATCAATTTTAGGTTCCTCTTGTTCCGTAACTCACGGCTTTTGTCACTACAGGAGCAAAGGGGTGTAACCCAGCTGATACCTCGGCGCTCTGATGACACCAACAGAAGTCACTCAGCCCCCGTAAACAGAGATAAACCACACAGTTTATCCCTGTGGAAAGAAAATTACCACCATGAAGCAGCCAAAAAGACGACAACAAAGTTACAGTGGGGACAGACCCTTTAGCTGTGATCAGTGTGGGAAGTCTTTTAATCAAATTAGTCACTTAAAAACACATCAGCCCATCCATGCTGGAGTTAGACCATTCAGCTGTGGCGAGTGTGGAAAGTCTCAGACTGTGACAAGCGAATCCCCTACACGACCACATAGTTCGCTCTTTCTAACAGTTCTTTATCCGGTTGCTCGTTCGTACAATACTCGGTTGCTTTTCAGCTGCAACCCCACTCACAACAACAACCTCAGGTCCCGACACGTCTTATGCAGCAGAGGCGTGATGAACTGATGGAGCTGCAGTCTGTCAGCCTCCCCTGCAGCTGTGCCACAAACCAGTCCCCGCTGCACAGACCCTATCTGGGAAACTGGTTCCAGAGCCTGAAGCAGTATCTCTGATTCTGTTCTGATGTCCCGATTGTAATCAAACTGCAACGAAAAGCATTAAACCGTCTGTCAGCTGAGTTGTTGTGGCATGAATGTTCATCATGAATTGTTGAAAAATTGTAGCAACAAAGTCTTTTAAGTATTTTTGTAATGGCTGAACGCAGTTTTTGCACAATTGAAAACGAGTGGGAGATGTAACAAAGGTGAATCTTTATTTAGGCTGTTGTCTGACTGCAGAATTACAAAGTCCAAGTGCAGAATGATAAAGTTCATGAGATTAAAAAGCAAATTAATTCCACTGTCCTTCATAAACTGAAGACACCACCATTTAAACACAGAAAGTCAACAAAACAGGTGAAGATGATCAATGACAATGAGAGAGGAGAGGGACGTAAAACTAAACATGAAATGTTTCTGACAGTTGACCGCCAAAATAAATTGGGACATATCCGGTGTGAATATCGAACTCAACAGGGAAACAGACACAGGGATAAACCCCACGGAATAAAGACTCCAAACATGCTCAAGAACAAAAGAAGAGTATTATACGATACCGTAAACACCTAACAAAGAGTTCAACATTGTAAAACTCAAGGTCAGTCCCAGAGGACCCGTCCCAGCTGGTCACATTGTACAAATGTTTGGACAAATTTACTTGTAATCAGAAGGTTTTTCAGACCTGATTGCGTTTTTCTTCCCTAGTGCTCTTTTGAAATCTCTCTCTGATGATTTTTAATTTGAGATCAGATAACTCAGGCTTTCTGCTCCCTACTCCTCAGGCTGACTCTCTTCTAGGCTCTCCTGACTGTTCCCTTTACATGCTGATGATGTGTCTTGTAAATCTGGATCCCATTCCAGCAGGACGCTCCTCTTCTTCAGACAGTACCTCAGCTGCTCTCTCTCCTGGCAGTCAGCTGTCCACCTCTGCATGGCCAGTCGAGCCAGCGCCGGCATTTGAGGCAGAGCACGGAGCAGAGCGGGCAGCCAGGCTGAGCACGGAGCAGAGGTTGAAGGTCGCAAACTGACATCCATGTCTTCCAGAGAGCCCAGACCTCCTGCTGCAAACAGACTGCACCAACCGTTGTCTCCCACCAAGCTGTTGTAGGACAGATCCAGTGCACGGAGTGAGGAGAGACAGCCCCGTCTGCACACGGCAGCTGCACAGAGGAAGAGGACCCATTGATAACTGATCACTTT